AAAAAACGGATGCTGTTGTCTTTGCCCCTGAGTGGTTTTTTGTAAAGAGTCAGTTTCAGCTACAGTTACTTCGAGCTAGCACATGATCGTCTATCGTAGCGAAGTATGTCAGAGTCCTTTCATCATAACCAAAAGGTTTATATTGAATCCTGAAACGTCAGGAAGGCATAGTCATAAGATGGTAGATCTTCCTATGTATCAAACGCTGTTCAGTTTAGCGAAAAGATATTTGCTTGATACCGTGCAGGATCAGGTTAGATGTCCCCTTCCGTATCAATGCGTAAAAACGCAGTGAAATCTAATCATCGCACCATTGACGCTGTTTCTAAAGGATGACGGCTTCTATTTGTAAGCAAATTTTATAGCTTCTGCAATAGTTGGTTATTGTTTTGAGTTTTGAGTCCATATGTTGACGCTTTTGCTTAGTTTACCATTGTATTGTGTCATTTCTGTATTTTTTACTTATTTTTTAGTCAGACTTGTATGGTATTTAAGCAACAAAGCGTCTTCGCCTTCTTCATTTTCACCTTCCATCGCCGTTTCTTCTTTTGGGTCGTGGAGGCAGACGCGTCAGACAGAGCTTCAAAAGTTCCCGATTCTGTGCCAGAGTCTGAGCTTCGGCAAAAGACAAATGCAGTCTGGAACAGACTCCTTCCATATATTTACACCAGGATAATTTTGGCCGTCCCCTGGGCCTTCTGCCTGTCGGATTCGCAAGGAACAGTTGTTTAGCCTTCCTTTCTGGAGGCATTCGCAACACATGCCCAAGCCATCGCAGCTGTGACTTCTCAATTTGAAAAAACAAAGGTTGTGCACCAAGGCTCTTCCGGATGTCAGTATTCCGGACCATGTCCAGACGCATAAGGCCAGCTACTCGTCTAAGAAAGCCCTTTTCAGCAGCCTCTACCCGTGTTAGAAGTTTTTCAGTGATGGTCCACGATTCATGACCGTAGGGAAGCATGGGGATATAGATCGACGTGAACACCGAGAGCTTAGTTTTCAGACCGAGCTCTGCTTTAGTCACAGTTGGTCGGGCTAATTCATGCAGAACGCCACTGGCTACTCCAATTCGCCGGTCGATCTCTTCCTCTAATTTTCCATCACCAGTAAATACAATTCCGAGAAACATGATCTTCTCCGCCTGCTCCATTGCCTCTCCGTTAATTTGAAGAGAGCAACGGGCAGGAGAACGAGAAAGCATTAGGCTTTCCGTTTTAGATGCATTCTCACGCATGCCGGTCACGTCGCAATCGACTGCGAACCTTTCTAGAGAGCTGAAGATCGGTTTCAGAAGATGCTAATAAATAATTCGTCTGCATGCAGCAACCTTCTGGACTTCACATCTCCTGCACCGATAACCTCATCGCCTTGGCAGCTCCTGACTATTCTATCCATGTACAACACAATCAGGATAGGAGACAGGACGCGGCATTTTCGGATACCAGTGCGAACGTTGAATGGCTTCGACTTAACGCCATTAACTCTGACAAGCACCTGCTATCAGAGTACAATGATTGGATGGCCCTTAGCAACTGGCCATCAATCCCGTATGCACGAAGGCATGTCCGCAGACTGTTGCGTGGGATCCGGTGATACGCTTTTTCTAGGTCAACAAAACACATGTACATCACATGGGCCTACTCCTACGATTTCACAGCAATCTGGCGCAGAGCAAATATGTGGTCGGAGATGCTTCGACCAGGTCGGAAGCCACCCTGCTC